CCGGGCCGCGCTAAACGCTTTTTGTGAACTTACCCAGGGTATGAAATAATGAAATATACAATAGTATTAGTCTAGGTAGTGAGAGGTATATACGATAATGCACATCAAAAACTAAACCCGAGTCTCGTTCTCCGACCAAAAAAGTACACACAAGGAACAAAACTTGGTGCCCAAAATACCTGAACAGTGACAGACGACAAATATAAATAGCATCTGAAACGTGACGACATTTCAGTTGGCCTCCTTTCTTTACAACGCCACAATGTGTTTTCCAGGTAAACCGAATCTCAAACTGAAGTCACGTGTCGAAGATGCTCTTTGAAGTGGCTACGTTGATAGGCGGCGGGCAGTCGTGGTGAATATTGCAGATGAATCACTTCGCCCCCGTCTGAGAACTCACTACATGAACGCTGTCTGTAGTTTCGTGCTGTTTTAGAAATCTTGATATTTTTTAAATTTTTTGTTTATCTTTGTGTGTGTGTGTGTGTGTGTGTGTGTGTGTGTGTGTGTGTGTGTGTGTGTGTGTGTGTGTGTGTACAAGCATGGTGTGTTCTCTTTAACGGTTGGGACCTGTTGTTGTGACTCAACGGTTATTCGTGGTAGTAGTAATGGATGTCTCTAGTTCTCTGAATGTGTGGTATGGAGTCCGTCTTTGACCTTCTGGTGGTGTAGCAGGTGATTGGATTCTCGTTTCAGAACTGACGAAAGTCGAATGAAGGTACAGTGTTGTCTCTCTTATGGCGTGTGAACCATCACGAAATTTGTTTCTTTTTAAATCGTTTCTGGGTTGTGTTTTATGGCAAGGGGGTACGATAGAACCTACATTATACGTATGTCTTTGTCCTGTGAAACTTTTTTTCATTGTTTTACTGAATACTGCTGATGGTTGGATAGCCCCACTGGTAGGTCCTGCTTCTGTACTTCCTTTCAGTTGTTTTTTGTGTGTCTGTCTGTCATACTTTTCCTGCACTAAATGACCGTTACTGTATCGTGCTTCTCCTCTTGACTCAAACATTAACAGAGTAGAGTACTTTAGTTTGGTATCCCGAAAGGAAAGGTGGCTCATATTCCTCAGGAGCCAGACCCGGAATCCTGTCAAATATGTGCATAACTGTATACAGAATATGCGTTTTGCTGACTTGTTAAGTGGGTGGTTGGTGGGTGCCCTGGTGTGGTTTGCTCCTTCTTTCCTATCAAACATCTATCATCCTGATCTCTTCTCCTTCGTTTTTGTGTATGTTACTGTCTTGTAACGCATCTATTCTTCTGCGCCTATATGACCGTATTGTGTTGCAGGTGCCGTAAAACTCTTACGAAAACTAAAACTGACCTGTTAAGCTACCATAATTCATCACAACGTAACTTAAGCACATTTTCTGTTCTCACCGTGTGTCCTGTAGTGACGTCAGAAACCTGTCACCTTGCCCCCTTCAATGTTGCTGCAATTGCCACAGCGAGTTTGATGGATACGAACGCGTTTTGACAGAACTGACTTACTTCAGTCGTTTCTAGCCATAGCTTAATGATAATAACATTATGCCTTTACCGGTGTTTGTGGTGTAACGGTTAGGCGCTTCGCTGTCACACGCGGGAGACCCGGTTCGAACACACAGAAGTGGAAATTGGTCGCTTTTAAGCACAAGGGGGCTATCCCGAAAAATGCTGTTTTCAGAAAATTGATGGAAAGATTTTGAATCCTTATTCAGTCTCTGTAAAAGGAGAGTCTTCTCTAAAACCAAACAGATACGCACCAATGAATCCAAACTTCTCCTTTAGGTAGGACAATACCCACTATTGGTGTAAGTCAAGATTTCTGGAAATCCCCGCTTGTCCTTAAAAGCGACCAATTTTTATCGAGTATCTTGGTCTTTCTGCAGGGATACTGTATTCTTCTCAGCCTAGTTTGGCCCTGACAGTCAGAGTCTTATTAGCCTGCTTCCTAAATGGTCCAATAATTCGTGTCTGTGTGGAGTGGAAAAAAACCCTATATATATATTTTATTATATATGTGTTTGTGGTTTCCTTCGATGTTCTTGTAACGGGGTTGTTGGGGGTTTTTTTTCATTTCAGTTCTCTCAAGTTTTCATTCGTTCTCTTGTCATTGCCTCTTATTTTTCAAAATAAAATTTTGTGTCTATTCTTTGAGGCGTTTCGTTTTAAGAAACTGGCGAGGGTTTTTTGTTTTTTTTCTTCTTCTCTGAATCCCGTCCCGAGGCTTTGTTTTCTGTTTGTTCGTGAGTGTTGTCACCAGACAAATTTAAGGGACCCAGAATGCGAGACAAAGAAAATCGGGCCAGCTGGACTCAGGGGTGAGTGTGCAAGAGAGGGGGGAGGGGCAGCGAGAAAGAGAGAGAGAGAGAGAGAGAGAGAGAGAGAGAGAGAGAGAGAGAGAGAGA